GGGGGGGGGGAAATCCCATCACGAGGTTTTCGACTTGGAATATAGTTCACAAGTCGTATCAACTACAATTATGGCACTTTTAAGTTTGGTTTTGGAGTCACTACGAACTGTCATTGTATAGAAATAGCTGCATGAACCTTCAAAATGATCATCTTTTGCATTTCACAGACAAAATAACCTCATACAAATATGTAACGACAGCAAACTATGAGAAAATACTAATAGAATTTTCATTTTAGTGTGAGCTACCCCTTTAAATGCCAGAAACAGCCCCATACTTATAAAACAAACAAACAAACATGTGGATACCTGGCCCCTAAATAGGGTGCGAGACAGAGAGATTTCGATCACATGTCAGCCGTCTTGTGCATGCACTGACTTCTAAGTGCTGTGTTTAGCATTTCTATTACACAAAGAGAACAGAAAAGAGGAGCACAAACTGTGGGTGTATGATTAATGATGATTACAGTGAGTGTGTTTGTGCAAGTCATGTAATGCAGACAGTGTGACAGCAAACGTGGAACGCAGCCTATCAGAAAGATCAGACAGACAGCAGTGTGTGTGTGTGTGTGTGTGTGTATGTCTGGGAAAGTAAGAACGAGTATGTGTGGGCCATGGAAAGAATATGTGCGACAAAGGAAGGAGGTAAAGAAAATGTTTGGGTAAGAATGCCTCTGTGTGTGTTACAAGGACACCAGCTGTCTGAATGGAACCGTGTGTGTGTGTGTGTGTGTGTGTGTGTGTCACACAGCAGATTCGACCAATTCAACAACGATGAACTTATTTGTGCATTATATAGACGACAGACAGAAAGAAAGGAGGAAGAAGGAAGACAGTGTGATGTGTTGGCCCAACTGTGCGTTACACAAAACGGCAGCTGTCACACACTCTCTCTCATTCACAAACACACACACTCAATATCTTCCACACAAACACACACAGCTGTGTCATTAGGCTCACCCCAGCAGTGTCTGACTTATTGTGGGTTATTTTAAGAGCTTGGTAAGATAAGAAAGAATTCCTTTGGAGATTTTAACCGAGACGAAAGCTGCCCATCTCCTCAAATGTCAATCTTTATGTTTTTTACTAGCTGCATAAAACATACAAATAAAATGCCATTAAACACTCATTTAATAAATCCCATAATGTGGTTGGACAATTTTCAAAAGCACAATATTGATTACTGCAAATGGCTGCCCATTAGAGGCAGAACAAAAACAACACTTTCATTTATTAACTGCCATCCATTGCCATCCATTGCAAACACAAAAACGTGTTGCCAGGTTGTAGGTTTCAGATTGAGCCTGTTCACACTGAGCATGAACTTTTGCCACACTTTTTTAACATAAAAAAATAAAAAAGTGACACGGCACTGGATGCTGATTGGTCAATTCATCATAGCAGTTGTGCTTAAATATGTAGCACAATTTTTAAATTGTAATAGTATTTTGCAGTATTATTTTAACATCAAATTATATTTAATATAACATTTGACTGCTTGTTTTACTGTATTTTTGATCAAACAAATGCAGCCTTGGTGAACATAAGAGACATCTTTAAAAAACATTTTTTTTTTAAATCTTACAGAGCCCAAACTTTTTAACGGTTGGGTACAGGTATATCCACATATCTATCTTTATATATTTTTTTTTTACATAAAACGTTACATTTTCTTTGAGATTTTTTGTTCACTAAAATTATTGTTTTCTTTATCAAAGCAAGCTGGAAATTATACAACTATAATGTAACTCCATGAATTCATGAACATACTGTTGCTGAAAAACAATGGCATATGATGCAAAACATTACTGACAGAAGTGTATTTTCAACATGTTCTGACTATTGCTAAGGGTCACAATGTTATAGCATCTTAAATCGATACAACCTTTTTTAATCACATGCAACATTTGGCACTCGCACAAACTCATTTTTCTCATCTGAAAACGGATCTTTGGGGTTTGATATAAGCAATTCGATGCTACCGAAAGGGCAACAATACCCTTTAGCCATAATTATATTTACAATATAGCATGGCCTCTTAAAGTCTATATCCAACCCATCTGAACATACTGTTTTCATTTCACAAACAGAATAACTGGAAAAAAAATAAGCAACAGTGTTTTTACAAACCGTTATCAATGTTCCATTCTAAACGAGGAAATATGAAATGTGCTTATATGTGTGTGACACTCTGCTGTCTGGCCGACTGTTCTCAGAGATCGGAGACTTTACGAGCTCCCTAGTATGACTACTTTGCCTGGAAGTAATTAACCTTGTGTGTGTGTGAGAAAAATAGAGAAGTTGACGAAGTAGAGAGTGGTTGAAAAATAAGGAAAACATTATCAAAGAGACACAATAAAATTGATAGCTATTATAATTCACCTTTTAAAACTGTAATGATGAAGCATTTGTTAAAGCATTTTTACTTTAAAATCATCCTAGAGAACAGTAACATTCCTCTAACTGAAAAATCACCTGTGTGTGCTTTTCAGCTTTTTCTCATGTGCTTTTATGTCATAACATATATGAGTGTGTGTTCTGCTCATATGTGTGTCCATACGATCCATCACGCTTTCATTATGTTCTCAATGATGACACCAGACACCTTAATTACCTTCACCTGTATGAGAACAGACACACACTTCCCTCACCTGTCCACACCCAGTGTCCTCCAGAGACAGCCTGAGAACACTTACCAACACACACACACACACATATAAAAGCACAATACGTACTCACATCCAGGGAATCTTCATTGACGATGATGAGGGACATGCCATGTGACACCAGCCTACAGGAGTAACCTGAGACACAGAGGACAGTTACAGTAGAGATGTTACACAAAGCCACACATACACGCCCCAACAACAACTTAACCTCTTTGTAGATCTGTCATTACCCACTAATGCCTGTCTGCTGTCCACTGGTTTATCTCCAGTCTCACCCAATTTATTTTGAGCCGTCTGTCTTCAGCGCACACCGGACTGACTATCTGTCTGTCCTTCTGACATTTCATTCATCTAGGAGTCTGCTTGTGTGTTTTCAGTCAGTGTCTGTTTGATATTGTAGTGTTGTGTCATTGTACTTCCTTGTCAGCCTACTTTAAAGCTATTGCCTGTAATTTATTATGCAATTAAAATACAAGTATTTGAGCTTACATATATAATGTACTATAGAGTAAAAAATACACAAGGTTTGAAATCATAAAGATTTTTTTTTTAGTTTTTGAGATAACTCATTAATGCTTACCAAGGCTGCATTTATTTGAACTACAGTAATATTGTTATACAATATTGCAATTTAAACTAACCATTTTCTGAATTTATTCATCTGAGGGCAAAGACGAATTTTCAACAGCTATTACTGCAATCTGAAAATTTCAAAATATCCTCTTTCCTCAGTAAATAAAAAAAGAATAAGTTGAACCATTAGTAACAATTCAGCAGCAATAATAATAATTGATAATATCTGAGTATCAAATCAGCATATTAGATTGATATCTGAAGGATCATGTGACACTGACGTCTGAAATAATGACTGCTGCAAATTCAGCTTTGCCATAACAGAAATTATATTATAATATATTATAACAGTTTTTAAATACTTTATATTGTAACAAAAAAAAAATTTTTCATGACTGTTTTACGGTAGTTTTGACCTTATAAAAGCAGCCTTGGTGACTTCTGATAAGAGACTTCTTTCAAAAACATAAAAAATCCAATTATTAAAAAAAAAAAAAAAAAGATTATGGAAATGAAATAAAATAAAGTCTCTTAGCAAAAAACAAACAAACAAACAAACAAATAGCAGATACATATTGCAGTGCTAGCTCATTTACCAGTTTTACACACCTGTTTCTGAACAGAAGTCTTTATGTAATCCATGTTTAAAAAAAAAAAAAACTTAAACCATTTGCTTGTCTGGTTTAATTGGTTTATCTGGTCTCCCTGTCCAGCTGACAAACACACAAAAGCCCTCTTTAACCAGCAAAACCAACCAACAGGTTTTTCAGCACTTTGACCCACTGATGCATTATATTTGCACAGGAATAAATGTTGAATATTAACCGCATGCATCACCCTGGGTGCTGCAGTGATCGTCTGATGTCAAACATCCACAACAGCAAAATCATGTTGTAATCAGTTATGGATTTCTTCATGAGTTAGAAGTCTGACTACAAGTGATGTTCTATTGTTGATATGCTAATCAACTTTGTGGCGTGACTTTGTGGTATAAGTATATATCTATGTATGACACACACCAATATTGATGGCCGTCTCTTGCTTGTCTCCGGTCAGAACCCAGATCTTGATATTGGCTTTCATGAGTGTTGCTATGGTTTCCGGGACTCCTGCTTGCAGTTGGTCTTCTATTGCAGTGGCACCCAGCAACAGCAAGTTCTGCGTGTGACAAAAATAAAGACAAGAAGCTGAGAGAGAAAAAAAGAGGAAACTGAATTTTTGAAATTTAAATATATGATTTAAACTATAAAAATCAAAATAGTAACCTCCCCACATACAGTTCAACTGGACAGTATTAATTTGACCAAATTTATAAAAACATAGTCAAATTAACAATATTGTTTTGTGGGAAATATACCATATTGTGCGTATAATAACGATGATGGGTAATTTATAGTGTAAAATTATATGTATTATAAAATAAACTAAAATTACAGATTTTATTGCATTACAAATCATTTTAATTCATTCTTCAATAAATTTAAATGTTTAAATTATCACTTTATTTACAATTCTGCATCCTGTTCGCTAACTTAAAGGGGTCATATGATGTTGCTAAAAAGAACATTATTTTGTGTATTTGGTGTAATGAAATGTGTTTATGCGGTTTAAGGTTCAAAAAACACATTATTTTCCACATACTGTACATTATTGTTTCTCCTCTATGCCTCGCCTTTCTGAAACGTGACGATTTTTAAAATGTTCATCGGTCTGAAAAGCGAGGTGTGCTCTGATTGGCCAGCTATCCAGTTCATTGTGATTGGCCGAATACCTCAAGCGTGGTAAGAATGCCTCTGTGTGTGTTACAAGGACACCAGCTGTCTGAATGGAACCGTGTGTGTGTGTGTGTGTGTGTGTGTGTGTGTCACACAGCAGAGTGACAGATGGAACTTGTCACAGACTCTGAGTCAAAAGCCATCATGTTTACCCAGGAGGCTTTGCTGGCAGAATTTGTTTTGACGAGATTGAGCGCCAAAAGGAGATCGTGTTACTCCTCACCCGACACACACACTTATGCTCGAACGCACTCTAATGCACACACTGTTCCTGTAAATTTGGGAGCCGCTGACAGACGGAGGAGGAGTTGTGTGGCAGGAGAGACAGAGAAAATCGACCAATTACACCATCAACAACGATGAACTTATTTGTGCATTATATAGACGACAGACAGAAAGAAAGGAGGAAGACATGAAGGAGTGTGATGTGTTGGCCCAACTGTGCGTTACACAAAACGGCAGCTGTCACACACTCTCTCTCATTCACAAACACACACACTCAATATCTTCCACACAAACACACACAGCTGTGTCATTAGGCTCACCCCAGCAGTGTCTGACTTATTGTGGGTTATTTTAAGAGCTTGGTAAGATAAGAAAGAATTCCTTTGGAGATTTTAACCGAGACGAAAGCTGCCCATCTCCTCAAATGTCAATCTTTATGTTTTTTACTAGCTGCATAAAACATACAAATAAAATGCCATTAAACACTCATTTAATAAATCCCATAATGTGGTTGGACAATTTTCAAAAGCACAATATTGATTACTGCAAATGGCTGCCCATTAGAGGCAGAACAAAAACAACACTTTCATTTATTAACTGCCATCCATTGCCATCCATTGCAAACACAAAAACGTGTTGCCAGGTTGTAGGTTTCAGATTGAGCCTGTTCACACTGAGCATGAACTTTTGCCACACTTTTTTAACATAAAAAAATAAAAAAGTGACACGGCACTGGATGCTGATTGGTCAATTCATCATAGCAGTTGTGCTTAAATATGTAGCACAATTTTTAAATTGTAATAGTATTTTGCAGTATTATTTTAACATCAAATTATATTTAATATAACATTTGACTGCTTGTTTTACTGTATTTTTGATCAAACAAATGCAGCCTTGGTGAACATAAGAGACATCTTTAAAAAACATTTTTTTTTTAAATCTTACAGAGCCCAAACTTTTTAACGGTTGGGTACAGGTATATCCACATATCTATCTTTATATATTTTTTTTTTACATAAAACGTTACATTTTCTTTGAGATTTTTTTGTTCACTAAAATTATTGTTTTCTTTATCAAAGCAAGCTGGAAATTATACAACTATAATGTAACTCCATGAATTCATGAACATACTGTTGCTGAAAAACAATGGCATATGATGCAAAACATTACTGACAGAAGTGTATTTTCAACATGTTCTGACTATTGCTAAGGGTCACAATGTTATAGCATCTTAAATCGATACAACCTTTTTTAATCACATGCAACATTTGGCACTCGCACAAACTCATTTTTCTCATCTGAAAACGGATCTTTGGGGTTTGATATAAGCAATTCGATGCTACCGAAAGGGCAACAATACCCTTTAGCCATAATTATATTTACAATATAGCATGGCCTCTTAAAGTCTATATCCAACCCATCTGAACATACTGTTTTCATTTCACAAACAGAATAACTGGAAAAAAAATAAGCAACAGTGTTTTTACAAACCGCTATCAATGTTCCATTCTAAACGAGGAAATATGAAATGTGCTTATATGTGTGTGACACTCTGCTGTCTGGCCGACTGTTCTCAGAGATCGGAGACTTTACGAGCTCCCTAGTATGACTACTTTGCCTGGAAGTAATTAACCTTGTGTGTGTGTGAGAAAAATAGAGAAGTTGACGAAGTAGAGAGTGGTTGAAAAATAAGGAAAACATTATCAAAGAGACACAATAAAATTGATAGCTATTATAATTCACCTTTTAAAACTGTAATGATGAAGCATTTGTTAAAGCATTTTTACTTTAAAATCATCCTAGAGAACAGTAACATTCCTCTAACTGAAAAATCACCTGTGTGTGCTTTTCAGCTTTTTCTCATGTGCTTTTATGTCATAACATATATGAGTGTGTGTTCTGCTCATATGTGTGTCCATACGATCCATCACGCTTTCATTATGTTCTCAATGATGACACCAGACACCTTAATTACCTTCACCTGTACGAGAACAAAGACACACACTTCCCTCACCTGTCCACACCCAGCGTCCTCCAGAGACAGCCTGAGAACACTTACTAACACACACACACATATAAAAACACAATATGTACTCACATCCAGGGAATCTTCATTGATGATGATGAGGGACATGCCATGTGACACCAGCCTACAGGAGTAACCTGAGACACAGAGGACAGTTACAGTAGAGATGTTACACAAAGCCACACATACACGCCCCAACAACAACTTAACCTCTTTGTAGATCTGTCATTACCCACTAATGCCTGTCTGCTGTCCACTGGTTTATCTCCAGTCTCACCCAATTTATTTTGAGCCGTCTGTCTTCAGCGCACACCGGACTGACTATCTGTCTGTCCTTCTGACATTTCATTCATCTAGGAGTCTGCTTGTGTGTTTTCAGTCAGTGTCTGTTTGATATTGTAGTGTTGTGTCATTGTACTTCCTTGTCAGCCTACTTTAAAGCTATTGCCTGTAATTTATTATGCAATTAAAATACAAGTATTTGAGCTTACATATATAATGTACTATAGAGTAAAAAATACACAAGGTTTGAAATCATAAAGATTTTTTTTTTAGTTTTTGAGATAACTCATTAATGCTTACCAAGGCTGCATTTATTTGAACTACAGTAATATTGTTATACAATATTGCAATTTAAACTAACCATTTTCTGAATTTATTCATCTGAGGGCAAAGACGAATTTTCAACAGCTATTACTGCAATCTGAAAATTTCAAAATATCCTCTTTCCTCAGTAAATAAAAAAAGAATAAGTTGAACCATTAGTAACAATTCAGCAGCAATAATAATAATTGATAATATCTGAGTATCAAATCAGCATATTAGATTGATATCTGAAGGATCATGTGACACTGACGTCTGAAATAATGACTGCTGCAAATTCAGCTTTGCCATAACAGAAATTATATTATAATATATTATAACAGTTTTTAAATACTTTATATTGTAACAAAAAAAAAATTTTTCATGACTGTTTTACGGTAGTTTTGACCTTATAAAAGCAGCCTTGGTGACTTCTGATAAGAGACTTCTTTCAAAAACATAAAAAATCCAATTATTAAAAAAAAAAAAAAAAAGATTATGGAAATGAAATAAAATAAAGTCTCTTAGCAAAAAACAAACAAACAAACAAACAAATAGCAGATACATATTGCAGTGCTAGCTCATTTACCAGTTTTACACACCTGTTTCTGAACAGAAGTCTTTATGTAATCCATGTTTAAAAAAAAAAAAAACTTAAACCATTTGCTTGTCTGGTTTAATTGGTTTATCTGGTCTCCCTGTCCAGCTGACAAACACACAAAAGCCCTCTTTAACCAGCAAAACCAACCAACAGGTTTTTCAGCACTTTGACCCACTGATGCATTATATTTGCACAGGAATAAATGTTGAATATTAACCGCATGCATCACCCTGGGTGCTGCAGTGATCGTCTGATGTCAAACATCCACAACAGCAAAATCATGTTGTAATCAGTTATGGATTTCTTCATGAGTTAGAAGTCTGACTACAAGTGATGTTCTATTGTTGATATGCTAATCAACTTTGTGGCGTGACTTTGTGGTATAAGTATATATCTATGTATGACACACACCAATATTGATGGCCGTCTCTTGCTTGTCTCCGGTCAGAACCCAGATCTTGATATTGGCTTTCATGAGTGTTGCTATGGTTTCCGGGACTCCTGCTTGCAGTTGGTCTTCTATTGCAGTGGCACCCAGCAACAGCAAGTTCTGCGTGTGACAAAAATAAAGACAAGAAGCTGAGAGAGAAAAAAAGAGGAAACTGAATTTTTGAAATTTAAATATATGATTTAAACTATAAAAATCAAAATAGTAACCTCCCCACATACAGTTCAACTGGACAGTATTAATTTGACCAAATTTATAAAAACATAGTCAAATTAACAATATTGTTTTGTGGGAAATATACCATATTGTGCGTATAATAACGATGATGGGTAATTTATAGTGTAAAATTATATGTATTATAAAATAAACTAAAAT